TTAAATTAGATAACCAAAAGTTGTACGTGTAGCTAGTTGTACTCTTGTAATACTGATATAACATGTGGTCAAGTCTTCGGACATATGGCCTAACCGCTTGTATTAATAAAGTGCAAAGAGCCTAAGTGGTTACCTTAATATTAAAAAAAAAAAAAAAAAGATTATAAAAGATAGGATCCTCAATTATGTATGGCATTGAATAAATTCTCAGCACGATATAAAGCTGCCAAGTCTCAATCAATTCTACGGTTGACTACTTTTCTTTATGATATCAATCGTAAGTCAGACTCTCTGACATGTATTAAAGATAGCAAGAAAATCCCTGTTCAGATAGAATCTGTAAAGCGAAGGAAAACTAAAGGCACAAGTATCAAACGAAGATATTTGAAAATTAATAATAAGAATGATCCACATAGTATTCCTAAATACAAAGTAAAAAAGACAAGCAAAAAAGAACATAAATTAAGTAAAAATATTTTAAACAATGTATTGAACTAATAGGTAAATTTTAAATTTTACATTACTTGTTTCAATAAAATTTATTTAAATACTAAATTTATTTTATAGCTATCAAAATTAACAAGTCAAGTTTTCCAAGTTTAAAGCCAGGTTAGTATACATACTAATTTTATAAAATCTTTAATATTTTATTTTAATTTTAAATAATTAATAAGAAAAAAAATTAGGAATTATATTATTAAACAAGGAATTGTTCAAAGTCCTGTTAATGGCTTATGAAAATTTTGACTTTAAAAGTTTTTCAAAGCATTTTCTAATTCGCTATTTTCAAATTCTGTTAAAGATAACATTGAGCTTTATCAGAAACTGCATTAAGAAATTTATAACTGTAAATATGATGAATCACACGAACAAATAAATGATTAAAAATTAAGTAAAATAATGTGCTTTTATTAAAAAAAATTATAATTGAATGCAGTTTTTTTTCAATTATCTAGACTACTGTTATAAATACAAAGTATGCATATACTTTAAATTTTTTTCTTTCTATTTATAATCTTTCAGCATGTATTAGACCCAGTTTCTACTAAATAGTTTTAAAATTAGTGGAATAAAGTATACCCGAGTCTTGTATATACACTTTAATATTATTAGAATCATAAAAGAGATCTTTTTGTTGGCTATAATCATAAAATATTTTTAAGGACTAATAGAACTATTTAAGCAATATAAATTGCATAATAAAATATGAGTTCAAAATAGTCTTTATTATGAATATTGGGTTAAAAAACTAAGCACAATATTTTGTCTCTAGTTATAGTTTTACTTTTCATATATTCAAGAATTATTTTGTTATGAGTTTTATTATCTTACGTATTAAAAATAAAAAATAAAATAATAATATTATCTATTTTAAATGACAATATTTAATAATTATTATTATACAATATGGTCAAACGTTTGTAATGAAGTTCATATATTAGTACATGTGAAGATTTTAATTTTTATTGGCTGATTTTGTATAACTTTATGATGTTACACCACATGATCAACATAACCTAGTACAGAAAACTGACATGCATGGTTAACGGCTATTTAACGATTGGTAGGATCTAGAAATCTGTAATCTCGATCACACCATCTAGAATGGGAGCCTTGGCGCAATAAACCCAAGATACTGGAAGAACCGAAAACCTGTTTGGCAAGTCCCAAGTTGGGAGGTAGCGCAATCTTTGATGGTACTACAGGAGAACCAAATTTGGAACTGGAAACTGAGATCGGAGAACCAAGCGACCAGGTCCTTAAGTGGGGGGACATACCAGCCGAACCGCCAGGTCACCAAAACTAGAAAAAAAGGACATGTGTTCTGGAAACATGTACCAAAGGAAGGAAGACCATATAGACACCTAAAGTCTAGGTGAACTGACCCTTCCGAGTTGCCAGCTAGAACTAAGGGAGAGACCAATAAAGAATCCGAGAAAGAAGGAAAGTTCGAATATGGGTGCTAGGGTTGTGCAAACCCAATACAAGAGCAGGAGTACATAACAACTACTGAAATAGGAAGGTTGTAGTTTGAGATATGGATTGGATTATAGCAGTATTCTAAAAGATAGCTTGAGATATGAACTCGGTGGTGGCAACACAACAGGTACTAGATTAGGAAGAAGTTACTGAACATGCAAGTAAATACATGTGTGAGACATGTACCACTCTGTTAGTTTACCTTGAAGATAAAGTAGTTCTAGGTAGAGTGTGAAATCTATAAGTATCACAAAATCTAGCATATAAATAGTGAGTTACACCTTGGTTAGGTAGAAAATGACAGGCCAGTTGTGACCAGAGAGTTTAAATAGGTAATTCCCTAGTTGGGTTGCAGGTATGGTAGCTAGTGTAGAACCTTGGGCAAACTACTTAAATAGGCAACCAAAAGTTGCAAGTATGGCTAGTTGTATTCTCACTTGTAAAAGCCAGAAAGCTTAAATAGATAATTTTCTAGTTAGATTGCAGGTATGGTAGCTAGTGTAGAACTTGGGCAGACTACTTAAATAGACAACCAAAAGTTGTATGTGTGGCTAGTTGTACCCTCATCATAATTATAAATATTGTTAATTATCTAATAAAAAGCCCCCGGCCATAGAGGTCATCTTAACACCGAATAGAAAAAAAAAATAATATAATATATATAAATAAATGATTACTATAAGCATATAAATAATCAAATAGCCCTACCAGCATACTAATATGCTTATTAAAAAACACTAATGTGTATCTGGTTTTCTAGCAATATAAAAAAATAATACACTAATCAGGTTTATTTAAAATATATATCAGATTCCTGATAGAACTATGAAAAGTATCTTAAAGTTCTTCAAATAGTCCTTTATTTATACTAGGTTTCTTTCAATATAATACATATACTGGGTTTATTTAATAATAAATTAGGTAATTGATTGGACTATGCAAGATTATATTAAAGAATTTTAAATAGTCTTTTATTTGTACCTGGTTTTTTTTCAATATTGAGGAATATATATCACCTACCACGTATATTTATTATACATATCAGTTTGCTAATAGGACTCTGGAAGGTACCTTATTGGTCTCGTATTTGCACCAAAGATCTGTTAACAATTTGTGACCAATCAGAGAGCTTTTGGCTTTATTTACCAGTTAACTTGAATTTGTCTATACTATAAATATAGGATACCTATCGAGATTCTGATAGTAATCCAGTATAGCTTTATTCGACCTGTGCACATTTTTAAAAAAGTTACTAACATCCCAACTACGTGATTGTAAAGAGGTTAGACTGTATTATATAATATATACAAATTGTCCAATACTTTTTGTGCATCGTATAGTAATATAAATAATAAAGATTTGCTTTGAGAATACAGTAATGTTGCCATTAAACTAGTTTTTGTTAAAACTGAATAATAATAATTAAGACATTTATATAGCATAGCACAAATTCATAAAACAAAATTATTACAATTTTGAGGGATATTTATATGAATTTTGTAATGGGAAGTAGAAGAATCAACATCAATATCTTCATTGGCATCTTCATATCCAATATCTTCATCAAATACTATACTTGAATCTGTAAAATTTATTATTTCTATCTTCATATAAATATACAAGATCTGATTTTATAAATGAAATTGCATAATAGTTACTATCAAGAAATTTTGTAGCAAATAGATATAAAACAGAAATTAATTGCTCAATAGCTATCTATTCTTCATTAGTAAGATTTATTTTTTTAAAATGACTACAATTATGTTTTGAATTATAATTATTTTCTAATTTCAAATAACTAATTATAGTACTTATTATATGATGCATTTTAAGTAATCTTATCTATACAAAATATATTGAATTCTACCAAGCAGATATATTATTAATTCTAAGATATTCATTTTCAATTAAAAATTTAAAAAAAATTTAAATTATTATTAGTAAATATAATAATAATAATATTTTCAAACTTGTAATCTATAATATACCTAATCATTTGACAAATTCATACTTTTTTGTACTCAAAACAGTTTTTTACTTTGTTTTGGTATTGTAAAAAAACTACATAGCTAGCATACACAAGCTACTAAAACTCTACATAGAAGAAGTTCTTTTCAATTACTAGCTATAAAGTATGAGATATACAGAGCATATATATATAATTTGATAATAGTGCAATTTTTATTTTTACATTTAAACTATTATTAGTTATAATACAAAATACTTTATTTTTAATATTTTATTTATTAAGCATATTAGATATTTCATTAACAATATACTCACTCATATATGGATATAGAATATATTTCAATACTAGTAATACTTTGTGCAATCTAAACTAATTATCTAAATAAGATGCTATAATATCTATATATTTTTGACAAAATTTTGCTATCTATAAATCAAAAGTAAAAGAACAACTTGGCAAGTTTTTTGAAATATTAAGATCTATAGTTTGTTTAATATAATTATAAGATTCTAATAATATTGATTTAACTATCTTTTTTAAAAGTAATTTGTAAAATGGAAATACCTTTGCTATTAGTTTAGTAAAACCTTTATCAGTAAGAACTAAAAGTGGTTGTTGATCTTTAACTATAAATTTCACTATAATTCTATTTATATGTTTTTTTCTTAATGGGTTTTTTCTTTGTCTGGTAGATTACTTGCTGAATCATCACCATTAGCATTAAAAATTTTATATATAGTTCTTAAGTGATACTAATAATTTCTAGTAAAATCTGAATATCATATCTTTTTATTGTATAGTTGTGTACTATCTTTTTCAACAACTTTAATATAGCAAATACCATATCTAGAAGCTTCATCTTTATCAAAGTAATTCCAAACTTTGCTAGTAGACTGAGATTTATCATATTTAATAATATTGGTTAAATAATAACTACAAATTTATGATCAAGAAAAGCTAAAAAGATATCTTTATTACTTTTTTCAAAAATAATTTGCATGTTTATTTTACTTAGAATTAAAGTTTTAAAGTTGTTAAGCATAAGAAAGATAGCTAAATTTATTTATTATTTATTTTTTATATATCATACATTTGACTTTAAATTAAATACATTATTTATCATTACTAATCTCTTATACAATATTTAACTTTCATTGCTATTTTTTCAAGCATTATATTTGATTTTGTGCTTATATCATTTATTATTACTAATCTCTTATATGATATTTAATTTTCATTATTACTTTTTTATGTATTATATTTGATTTTGGCTTTTATTATTAATTAATTACTTACATAATTACAAGATATTCTGAACCTGATCTACAAAATTAAGTGATAAATTCTAAAGGAAAATAATAATAACAATAAATAAATTTAATTTTGAATTAGATATCTTATTAAATAATTTGGTCAATTCAAATTAAAAGGTTTTAATTTATTGATTAAATAAATTATTCGAATTAAGTACTTTGTCTACTTATATTCAGACTAGTGGAAAACCTATACTTTACATGAGATTAACATAAGAGATTTTCTGGTGATAAAT